AATTGAAGTAGATAGCTTAATGGAAGTTTCAAATGGGGAAAGGTAAGAGGAGGAGAGGAAAAATGGAAGCAAAAACAAAGTGGAATTACCATTGAAAACTCACAATGGGATTAACCGTAGCATTGTAAAAAATTGCATTCACTTTTGCTAATGGAAAAATTACAAAATTTTTGTATAAAATATTTTCTCTACTTTGAGTGGTGGAAATTTATGTGAGCCAGTTTTAGCCTTAATCTTCATTTTCTACATTTTCCGCACCAGATTTGCAGGATTTTGGAACTAACACACCTCTGTAAAATCTCTATTGCCTTTTTCAATACACCTATGAATATTAAAAAATAGAAATCCTCAATATTTTATATATCTCAATAATAAAAGGTGTGACCCAAGCACATCGAAAATTATGCCACCTCCTCTCGTTCGTGGGATCAACACACATTCGAAATCAAGCAGGCGAGCCTTTGGCCCAGCTCTGGGTTGGGTTAGGTTGGGCGACAAGCAAATGAGCTTATTTCGAGTTGTGCGGTTAATTAAGTAAAATTTATCACAATGTTGTAAATTTTTCAACACACAACCTCGCCATTGCATGCGTGCACAAGCGAACAAATATGGCATGCCACACGCACGCACAGTTAGCCGCAGTGAAACAGGCAAATACATATAAATACGTAAATGCATATGTATATAAATATATATATATTTACAAGTAAATATTTATAAATTGTACATAAAAGGAAAGCGACCAACGCTGCTTCATAACATTTGCGATTATATTTGTTTATACATTCATAAATATTAACGCTATATGAATATGTGTGCATCTGTATCTACATATATGGCAGTTTGAATGAACATTTCCTGCTTGCACTTACTTGTAGACAAACATATGTTAACAGTGAGTGATAAAAACAAATTCTTTCATATAAAAAAAATATGTAAAAAGTTCGTTCGGTTTTTTTTTATTGATTTTTCAAAATATGATAACTTTTGTACATTTGTCCAATTTAAGTCAGATATGCGCCGAGATGTTCAGAAACTTGTTGCCAACGAGATGCCAACTTCATTATACTCTCGTAGAAGACTGCATCCCCATTGGCAAAAAAATCGAAGAGCCTATTTTCACAGACCTCTCTTGAGGCCAACTTCTCACCATTAGGCGCGTTCGTCATGAACAGGAAAAGGTGGTAATCACTTGGTGCCTGGTCCGGACTATAAGGTGACTGCAGTAGGACCTACCATCCGACCTCCTAGCGCTTCTGGCGCGTCACCAAAGACGTGTGTGGCCTGGCGTGGAACTGTTTATCAAAGATGGAATCTTCTGGATTAGTGCCTTAGTTCCGAGATGCCTTAGTACAAAAAAACTCAGGAAGCCGACCAACTAGGGTAATTGTCTAAAATTCCTTGAAAAAATACGTCGGCTTGCTGATGGTTTTAAAACCAGGACACAAAGAGGTGGTCTAGAAACCAATGGCCAGAGAATACTGAATTATGGAAGGAAAACTTCTCCAGCCCACAGAATGGCAGTGAAAATGAAGTACCTGCCGATAGTGAACCCAATTCCCTTATAGATGACAATGAAAGAGATATTTTACAGTCCGACTATGAAAAAGTATGAATAGCAATCGCCCGCTTAAAAGACAGCAAAGTGGCGGGAGCTTATGGATTGTCGGTCGTACTATTCAAATACGGCGACGAAAAGTGGATGCGGTGTATGTATAAGATTTCTTGGAAAATGAAAGCAGGCACAGAACCTAAGTGTGTACCACCCAATCAACAAAAATGGGCGCTGCCACAGCCTGCGCCAATTACCGTGGGACTAGGCTCCTCAATATCGCATTAAAGGTAGTATCGCATGTATTGTGTGAAGGACTAAAGTCTACCATCAACAAAGTTATTGGACCTTATTAGTACGACCTTAGACCTGGTAAACCAACTATTGACTGGATATTTATCAGACGCCAAATCCTGAAAAATACAAGTGAAAAGAGGATCGATACCGTGGCCTCTACACCATATGTCTACAAGAGTGTACAGCATCTGGCGTACACAGCTAATATGAACATCATAGGCCTCAACAACCGCGCCGTGAGTTCTACTTCTCCAGACATTATAAGGTTGGGAAGCGTATGGGCCTATTCGTGAACGATGGAAAATGAAATAGTTCTATTAAGATACAAAGAGTCGCCACTTTCGTCACGTGACTGTTGGGTGTCAAAGCTTTAATCACGGAGAAAGTGTTGTTAATGTCTACCTGAATATCCAGCGCAGAGTCACTTCTACCAACAGGTGATACTTTGGGCTGAGTAGGCAAAGCGATGAGCAACGGCTAAAACATACAAGTCACTCATCGTTCCCATCATGCTATTTGCGAATATGCGTTGCATAGGCATGGCTGATATCGACATTTGATTAGTTGGCCCTGGCGAATATCGCAGACGATGGAACGATGAGTTATGTGGGTTTATCGGTATATCAATGTTACTGTGTTCAAGAATGAAGGAACAGTGTCTGACCCGGCTAAGCTATGTCATCCGAATGAATGAAATCGCTTCAGTACTGAAGTTTTTTTTTTTGTGGAAGCAGAGGAAAGGAGAAAATCTCAATTTTTTTTTGGAAGACCAGGTGGAGAAGGACCTCGCTGCACTTTGTATTCCCAATCGGCAACCAACAGCGAAAAGAAATAATTAATGGTGCGTTATTTTTTAACTCGGCTATAAGGCGTAAACAGTACCCACGTGAATGCTACGTTATTAATAGGACAGCCTCAGTTTTTTCTAAAATAACAACCTACGTTCTTCCGTGTTTTTCGCGCAACATCTTCAGCATAATTCGCCATCGTCGCTGAAGTTCCAGTGGTCTGTCCTGAGGATAGAGCCTGCGCAACGTCTGGCGTCATTTCTACTACTCAAAGTCCGCAAACGATATATTCGGATGCCTAACAGTTTGTTCAATTATCAGAATTTCAGCACAAAATTATAAAGGAAATTATCGAAATTTCAAAATTTTGAATAAATTACACCCCAAATCTTGAAAATACTTCAAAATATTTTTTATTTAAGTACACTTTTGCTCCTTACTGTACTACATGTGCGCCTGTATATAACAACATGGCTTTCCGCACCCGCTAACACTTCACCTACGTTGCGTTAAACCGCCAACAGCTGAATGCCGAGCGCTTTTAGCGACATTGTCCTTTGTCAAGGCAAAACACATTGCTCATACGCCATGTACGCCAAATGGAGATATATGACTGTAGGTATGTAAATAAGCAAACAATAGTGTGTACTTTTGCATACGCCTTGTATGTTGCTTGTATTTGTCGCCATTACATATACATACACACATACACACATAAATATATATACAATAAAATACTTCGTTTGCATGCCGGGAAGTGGCGAATTCCTGTGCTACGAACGGATTTATACCAAGCCATTGTATGCAAATAAAATCATTTAAATAGATATGCATTTATGTGTGCGCACATGTTTGTATGTTTGTATGCATATGCATGTTAGACCACGCCATATCCGACAATGCGGTAATCGTTGGTCACTAAATAGCTCGCTGTGCAGACATTTCCTGATTGTACACAAATACATATGTACCAGAAGATATGTATACTCGTATATTTATGTTGTTGTTGTAATGTATGTGTCTCCTGCTCGAGTGACTATCAAGCCAGTTTGCCATATCAATGCTTTCGGATCAATTTGTATGCCGTATTATATTTTAATTGAATTATTGTTGTTGACTTTATGAATTAAGGTATACATATATGTGTGTGTTTGTACTTGTGTGTATAAAACGATATGAATGAAGATATTTTGTTTAATATGAATGTTAATTATTTCATTTTGTCACGACAATTTTGAGAAATTGTGCGTCAAAGCAGGGAAAAACATGAAAACAATATATTTTTATGCAACAAAATGGTTGAAAATGGGATAAAAAATTTTGAAAGAATTTGAAAAAATCAACAAAAAGTATTGAAAACAAATGGAACACAAGCTATAAAAAAATTATCAGAAAAAAATTTAACGTGAAAAAAAAACAATTATCAAAATTTGAAAAAGTATGAGAGAAAAAAAATTTAAATACAACGAAAAAAACTAAAAGGGTAATTAATTGTAATATAGTATAATATTTAAAAATTAATTAGAATATAAAAACTTAACTAAGAATATGCATATATAAATATAAGTAGTCAAATATAAATTTTGAAAAAAAAAAACGAAAAACAATTTTCAAAAATATTTGAAATAACAGAATCTTCACAAAAAACTAATTGGCAAAGAGAGCTAAAAAATATTTTAAAAATTAATTCAAAAATATAACGCCTAAATGTAGGCCACAGTTTTCTATCAAACCGACAACTAAGCAATTAACAGGCCACTTTACCATATTAAAATAGGAATTCATAAAAATCACAGGGAACTTCCACACCAATCTACAATATTTCTAAGTTAAAGAAATTTAAAAATTTCAAAAGTATTTTCGAAAACTCAAATTTTTATATATTGCATACTTTTAATAGGTTTCGAAGAAATATAATTACTTTTTTCATTGGCGAACATGTTCAAGTAGTTGAGGCATAGCAAAATTAAAGGTTTGATTTGCATTATACGGTGTTAGATTCTAAAAGGAATTTAAGATTTGATTTTGTATGTATTTTTGGGGTATGTGAGGTGTTCGACGTTATACCAAATATTTATTAAGGAAACGTAAACTACACATTTTCAGAGCTAAGGAAAACTCCAAATCCTAAAACTTTCTGCTGGCTTTAAATGCGAATATTACAACTAAAAGTTAAGACTATTTTATTTAGAAATCGACTATTGGATATTGCCGAATCAGCACACCATATATCACAACTCAAAACTACAATCAAAATTACTTAAATCAAGTACTGCATAATTTTTTTAAAATAATTAGTAAAGCATTTATTTAAAAACAAATTGTTTATCTTCGAAAGAAACTCAACTTCGAAAACTAAAGAATTATTTTTGTTCTGGAGGAGTCAAACCATCAATTTTATAACATTGCTCCTTAGCAGCCTTACACTGGCTCAACATCGTCTCATCATCCTCGTTGCCTTGCCACATAAAGTAGGGACATGTCTTCTTTTTATGATATTCAATTTGACAAAGATAAACAAAAACAAAATATGGTTTACACGAATTTTTGAAGATCACCAAACCAGCGGGACTAGCCTTGATCAGAGTGTAGAGTTTAAAAGCTGTAAAGAAAAATTAAATATGGCAACAATATTAAAAGTAGAAAAAAAAATTTGTGAGCAAAACAAATTTAAATTATTTCTGCATTATAATTAATATTAAACTAATTAATAATTTTTTGGAAAAAAAAGTAAAAAAAATATTTTATAATTCTCTTAAAAATAAGATTAAAAATACTCACCCTCTTTCCGGCAAAATTCGTACAATTCCACATGATATTGTTTCTCCTTCGGCCGTGCGGCATATAAGTTTTCAGCATCCGCTTTGACCGCTTTCATATTTAAAGTTTCGCTATTTTTACCAATATAATGACGTTTGGTGTAAATACACTCCACTAGGCACTTTAATAAGATTTTTTCGAGAATTTATCTTTATATTTTAGTTCAATTCAAAAATTACCGAAATAAAACCGAATAGTTTAATGGGATCCTTATCGTCTTCTTTCGGTATATTATTCTCATGCAAAACAAAGCATTTGGCTGTGGGCTCGTCAAGCAACATATTGATTTCACCACAGCACTCTGTACGCTGGAGGTGGTTGTAAATAGAAAAAATTATTGAGTTATTAATGAACTCAGTTCTAAATAAATTTTTTTTTTATAATATACCAACCGTTTTGCTGCATGTGGACTCATCAAGTGTCCCAACATCAGTGTCTGCACTCAGAGTTATGGCGAAAAACTTGGAAAGTAATCATTTAAAGATGTATTAATAAAAATGTGTAAATAAAAAATAAAAAAAATTCTTAAAAAAAATTGATTTCCATAAAATCATTTATTTACCTCTAAAGTCAGTAAAAGGCCAAGGAATTGGCATATTTTCATTTTTGTTGAAAAAATATTGTGCCAGCTCTACTCAACAGCCACTTTCGCACTGCACTGTTCAAAATAAATAAATTAAATTTTTATATTTAACAAAATTGTCAAAAATTGTGTGTACAAATTCAATTAAATTGATCATTAATCAAATAAGCAAAATCGTAATTTAAATGAGATTATCAAAATAAGTAATTTGTTTGCATACATACATAACTTAGCTATTGTTTTCCATATCATAAAAACTAATTAAATGGAAATGAAAATTAATTAAATTTTCAAGGCCAAATATTTCAGTCCATGGTGTAATCAATACTAGGTGCGACCACTGGACTCGTCTCATTTTGTCCACGGTTTTGTTTCGTGCAATTTAGAGAGCCATTTCTACTATTATTTTTTTATATGAAAACTAAATGAATAATATATGAAAATCGTTTCAGCGCTTATAATGCTAGTATGCACCTACATCTATATACTATAGAGGGCGAAACGTGAGGGGAGTTTGTTTGTAAAATGGAAAATCTTAATTTATTCTTCTACATCGATTTCATCACCTTCAAAATAGTGCCCCGCCGATGCAATGCACTTATGTCAACGCTTTTTCCAATTATCGAAGCATGTCAAATAGTCTCGTTCTGGTATGCCCTTCAGAGAGCGCGCCGATTAACGTTTAATGCCCTCACTCTACTCAAAACGGTGTACCCGAAGTGATCTCTTGTGTTTTTGGACGAGCCAGAAGTCACATGCTGCTAAGTCCGGCGAATACGGTAGTTGCGGAGCGATATTCGTGGAATGTTCAGCGCAATAGTCACGAAGAATGAGTGCTGTGTGCGACGGTATATTATCGTGATGCAAACCAAGAATTGTTGGCCCACAATTCGGTACTTTTTTCTTTGTGAATTGCTTTCACGCAAACGCCGCATAACGCTTAAATAATATTCTCTATTAACCGTATGACCATGTGGAAGGAATCCATAGTGCACCACACCACGAAAATCGAAGAAAACAGTCGACATGACCTTGATTTTTGAGCAACTTTGAAGTGACTTTTCGGTCTTGACCCACCTTTAGCATGATATTCGCTTGATTGTTCGGTAGTTTCAGTTCATAGTTGAGTCCTCAATCGTTTTCTGTCGCATCCTCAACGTTTCGGCAGCGGAAAATTCGTTCCGCAAACAAAATTTGATCGCTCTTCTTTGCTCAATTAAATCAGACAAAGATATGCTAATACGTCTGCGCAGCTTTTTTGCGCAAGCAAATATTACGTGGACTACACTCTTCGTTCACTTGCTTTCGCGATACTGCTGAAATCTCAGTTATTTAACTTTTTGCCTGATAAATCTACCATCGATCAGATATTCACCATACCAGAACTGGTAAAGATCCCTGGAAGGAGGATCAGCAAACATCACAGCTTCGTCGGTTTTAAAACAGCCTTCAAAAGCTCAAGGAGGTGCTGTTTCTACGCCATAATGTCTGAAAACATATACGACTTTGTAAACTGACGTTCGGCAAGCGATTTCAGACAAGGTGATTCCTTCTTATGTGCAGCAGAAGTGCAATTTTCTATTAGAGCCCAGCAGGGAAAAATACCGGTATTTTTGAGCGAGCTTGCTCATATTCCATCTATTCCATTGGATGTAAGCAACTGATGTTTTTAACAGTACGATGTCCTTTACTGGCAATTGTCCAACAATACATCAGCTTTGTACTAGTTATATACCAGTTGACTTAGGCATATTGCATGCTTTAATTATAGCAAAATGAAGTTAGCCAGCAGCTCCAGAGCCGTGAATCTCATTCAACTAGTTTTGTAATTGTTGTGTTATCGCAAAAAACAACAACAACAAATACAACAACAACAACAACAACAACAACAAAAAACAATAACAACAACAACAACAACAACAACAACAACAACAACAACAAACACATTTACTACAGCAGCAGCACAACAACAACAACAACAACAACAACAACAACAACAACAACAACAACAACAACAACGACAACAACAATAACAAAAGGGTATCTGCTTAACCACTTTCTGCAGCATTTGTGTCAGTCAATTTAGATAACAAAACGTTTATGATTTGTGCTATTAAAAGCAATCGAAGCGCTTAATTTAATTAACGGTACTTTCATTTTCCGCTAAATTTAATCATAATTATAGTGATAAATAATAAAAACAGAACATGTTTTCCGCTATAAAACTGCTGAATTTCCATTAAGCTGCGCATTATATACCCAAATCAACCGGTAGATAGAAATATATTGAGAGAGAACTCGGGTGGACTATGGGGAATTTAGCAATCATCATATTTGCTTTTGGTTTGGCGTTGAAGGTAATATTTTATTCCGGAAACTTTTTTACACAACTAACAGGGTTTTCAAATATTATATTTTGATCTCTCTTTATTTTGATTTCACACTTTAAGCCCACAAGTTCATTGAAAATCGATTGTGATAATCCCGATTCGATTCAAGAGGATCACATACACTATTGCTGCAAGCATCCCGATGGCTATCAGGAGTTCATTGACGCTTGTGTCAAAGAGACTGGCTTCCAGTATGGTAAGCCCGAGGAGGAAGCAATGGTCGATATAACGGTTGATCGTGCCATAACGGGCACCTGCTTCGGTAAATGTGTTTTTAGCAAACTGGAATTTCTAAAAGACAACGAATTGGATATGTCTGCCGTGCGGAAGCACTTTGAGGATAAATTCAAAACGGATCCGGAGTATGCAAGGGAAATGATAAATGCCTTCGATCATTGTCATGACAAATGTGAGTGAAAATTTTTTTCGGAAATACTATAGTTTATCATTTATTTTCCACAGCCGTTGAACACACTACCAAATTCCTCTCGAATCCTTTGTTCCGCGCGACAAATGGTGAGTTCTGCGATCCGAGGTCGAGCGTTATATTGGCTTGTGTTATACGTGAGTTCTTTCATAATTGTCCTGCCGATCGTTGGTCCAAGACTGAGGAGTGCAGCACGGTTTTGGAGTTCAGCAAGAAATGCAAAGACGCACTGACGACAATTTAAAATTTGGATTTCTTGGTGTTGAAAATTAAGAAAATTAAGGAATGTTTCTGGAGCGTAATTTTTGGGTTGAAAAAATCAGACTTCGAGAGCAAACGTAAATAAAAAGCAATTGAAATAATTTTCTTCATGAAACTCCTTTTTTATTCCAAAGCTTGAGCCTTGGATTTAGAAACACTCTAACGGTCTAATGATCGCCTCGTCTGGCAAACTTCGACACGTTTGAGGTATTTCTCAACCACTTTTTGGCACTCATAGTGCGTGTTCTCGGACATAACATAACGATGGTTTTCCTTTCAAATGCTCATAAGTAAAAGGTTTATCCGCATAAAGACGGTATTTCGCATAACCCCCAAAAAAACATAACTTACGGTGTAAAATCTCACGATCTCGGGGGCCAATTAGCATCACCAAGATGATAGATTACGCGTCTGGGAAATTTCTCCCGCAATAAAAACATACTCACTCAAGCTGTGTGGCATGTGGCACCATCCCTGAGAAATACGCCTCTTCGTTGCAGAAAATTTTGTGCAAAAAATCACCGTTCACCGCCCAATCAACACATGTACGACGTTTTGGATAGTCAACACATAATTTTTGAATATAAAATTGCAGAGATATTTATGAATATAATTTCGAAAAAACAGTTTAGTGAAACTATATTCCAACTACCCTCAATTGAGGGTAACAGTTCGTTCTATTGCTATTTTATTGGGCCAAAAATGCTGCCTACATTTAGGGTTGAGTCAATATTAATAAACAAGTAAGGAATGCAGCCAAACATTAATTACTCTGTTGCTATTTATTTGAAGTATACAGATCGATGAAAAATAGTATATAGATATATTTCTGAGTATGTCAGCCATTTTTAGTAGGACTTTAATCATCGTTACAGGTAGGAATCTCAAATGTTCAATAGGGAAAAATAAAAAGTCTGGTTTATATTTTGGTGTATTGTTTATTGGCTCTTAAAAGAGAGGTTACCATTTTTTAAAAATATAAACAAAATTTGCCAAAATCTACTTCTGTTGTAATACTCAACGTTGATTAGAAAAACAAAAATATTTATATATTTTTAAGCCCCAAAAAATTTTGTATAAACTAAATTTTATATTATATCTATTACAATTTCATGGGCTTTCGGATAGATATAAAATGCCACCTACATTCAAGGTTGGAAAAAGCTTCTGAATCATTGAATTAGCTAAAAAATTTAAAAATAGATTTAAAATTAAAAGGAAGTGTAAAGGAAGACCACCAATTCTTCATAAAAGACTGGGTTCTCACCTTCGCTAATTTCATATATTTTTGTTGGCGAGCCTAATTGTAGGCAACGTTTCCAATAATTTTTTTACTTGCCAAAAATGCTGCCTACCTTTAAGGTGATATTGAATAAAATAAACAAAATACGCAAAGGAAGTCAAATTGAAATTGAAATTTAAAAACAATTTAATAAAATTCAGAAACAGCTTAATTTTTTTTTTATTATTATATATATATATTAGTTTTTTTTTTTTTTTTTTTTTTTTTTTTTTTTTTTGAATAACTTTTATTGAACAGAAGTTAGCATTGTTGCCCAAACTGTCACCAGCAGTTAAAACTCAAACTGTTCGCAAAAACTATATAAATTACTCTTAAAACTGAATTTGATTTTTTTTTTTTTTTGCCTCTATTTGCAATGCAACATGAATTACGCTTTTTCCACCGACAACATCCTCCACCCCGCTTCGCCGTGAAAGTTTTGCAACTTCTCTAGTTTTGCGCTTTGTTGCAGGCAAATTGTGTTCCAATTTGTGGCATAATGACAAAATTTTTGTTTGCGCCGCAGCAAAGATTACGCATTACGGCATTCCTTAAAGGCCTCCAAGCTGTTCTTGCTTGCATCCGCGCAACTGGCTGTGGGGCGAACTCGGTTGGATAATTTCACATTCACATTCACAAAGCCGGCACTCGAAACTTTTTACTCTACTCTACTCTGCAGTGAAGACTTTCGCAATTGTAAGAGTAGTTTGTAATTTTATCTTCTACACTATTCATTCCTATTCTTTCTGGTCTTATTATTATTCTCTTATTCTTCTTTAGCCTTCTTTCCCTATTCATAAGTTGTTAAATTTAATTTTGTCAATTTTTGTTGTTGGTCACAAAAGAAAGTCAAATGGAGAATGTAACTTTTGCATGTTATCACAAGCTGTCAGTGCTGACGACAACTGTCTACAACAACAGCAAACAACAGCGAACCAAAGTCGGCGCAATTCATCTGCAAATGAATGACTGATGAGCAGTTAACCTAATAGTTTTTGTAGTTGGTCTATTGTTAAATAATTTCGCTTTTCACTTTTCCATATGAAGAGGAAGCATACAAAATTATAAAAGTTATGTTTGATGGGGCACAAGCAACAATAGATGAATACTTTGTATCCAGCCTGCACTACGCTTCACTGTTATCTCAAAATAAAATGAGGTTGTATAAATGTATGTAGTTGGGGCTTTATAATCGTTGTAAATGGTGTAAAGGGACGTAGGCAAGCTTCGAGGTTTGCAGTTACACTCCTAGAGCCCCACTCTTTCTCTTGCTTTCACGTAGCTCGCCCAGGAAATGCGAACATCCCTCGAGCAAGATGCGATAACCAACCCGTATAGAGCCTTTGGTCACAGCTAAAAGAGCTGAAGCTGACTTCACCAGACTTCAAAGATCTTGGACGAGCTGAGGAACAACATCCCTGCGATTTCGTTCGAGATGCTGGCAAATATCATGGAAAATGTCGAAAAGGAGCAGAGTCTTCCCAATTAAGGAGATCATTTGATCGAAGTTGTTTTTCGAGGACAAAATTGTGAGGCTTTAAAATTAATAATAAGGAAAAGCTTATAAAAATTCATTGAAAATTGTTCAAGTTATTCAGCACTTCCATAGACCACATTGAAGAGATGACACACTCTGTATAAGCTTAAAAGGAAGGAATGGAGTAATAGCTTGGTTACCCCCATCGACGGTATTGAAATATTTACGAATGGATTGAAACTTCATGGAAGAGTTGGAGGTGGTGTCTTGTCAGGAGAGCCACATTTCGAGCTCGTTTTTAGGCTTATCGATCATTGCCGTGTATCTCAGGCTGAAATTTGAGCTCTTATGGAGGCAACAAACTATTTTGGAATGTGACAGGGATGTAGTCACTTGAGTCGCTTACAAAGTTTTTTAAATTATGCTAGACCCTCACCGATCTCTGCTGTAGATGAGAAGGAAAAGATTCCCTCCCATTTCGGTTCCTGAACATAGAAATACATAGAGAAATTATATGGCAGACGAATTAAGCAGGATAGACCCGAATAAGCAGATTGAATCCGACAAAAAAAATACATTGCCAAATGCAAACGGCTACTCAGTGACTTTACTTAGGGGCAAGCTGAAATAAGATGGAATCACAATCCCGAAACGGGAACGAAAGAAGTCACGCGAGTTGTAGGCGATGCTGAGAGAACACCTTATGAGTTGCTGTAGAAGCTATAAGAGCGATGGCAAGCAAGAAATTATCTCTCACCTTCTACTCGACTAGATACCTCTCTTCCCACTAAGCTAGCTTCGGTTATCCAGGAGTTGAGCGATGAGATGGTTTGTATGAGATTGAAGAAATCAAGATCAATTATCTAACGAAATTTATAAAGAAATCGAAGTGTATAGATGATGAGGCTTAGTGATAGCGTATACACCGTTTTTGCGCAATGGATTTATTCTGGCCTAAGTTTATTGATGCTCACACATCGATAGCCACCTCAGCCTTACCTGAACTTCATTTTTCTTATAGACTTAACATTTTTAGTTAATTATTGGCTGAGACCTTTTGAGTTTGTTGCCAATAGATTCCCTTTAGGAAGAAATATTACTCTCCCTGAATTACTCATGGTGCCCAATTTTCAAAGAGCAAAGGTTTGAATGACAAACAAAATCGATAAGGCAGATCTCAAAATCAGAAAAACTCGAGTCGAGATATTTTTCGTTGGGATTTATAGTTCAGAAAAGGAAGTTTTTGTTTTCATTTTTCATAATTAATTTATTTTCTCTAGCTTTCATAGACAAATTACGAGAAAGAAATGCTCTTTGCTCTTTCAAATATTTCACTCTCATCTTGGACACTAAATAATCTGAAAAATAAATAAAGTTTATCAAATGCTTTACACTCAAACATACATGTTCATGTCATCCTAAACCATTTTTATTTGAATAAATATTCAATTTCCAAAAAAATATTTATATATATGTATGCATATATGTATGTATTTATGTATATATATAAGCCATTTGCGAAAGTGTTCACATTTATTTTACATTTTTAACAATTTCGTTTTACAATTTTATTTCCTCGTGAACTTCAAGCACAACTATTTACAGTGTCACGATCAATTGCAGTACAAACAAGTTTATATATACACACATATGCATGGTATATGTATGTGTGTGTGCATGTATGAACAATATGTTGCACGCACTGCATCTGCTCTTCGTTTTAGCATTTTGCGCGTTTGTGTATTGTAAATACCGAAAATTCGTGTGAATAAAAATGAACTTCGGGATCCCGATTTTTTATGCAGTAAGTCAGATAGCTGAAAATGTGAAGAATATTTATGGTCTCCATACTGTAACCATCAGCCGTGCACACTTTTGGTTTTGTCGATTTCGTAAATCCGGTAATTTTGATGTAAAAATTGCTTCAAGGCGTGGAAGTCCAATAGTCAAAAATATCAATGAAATAACGGAAATCGTCGTGTCTCACCATCATGCGAGCACTTTTTCGTTTGCCCAGAAGCTAGAGATTGGAAAAAGAAAACCATTTGGTACCACTTGAAAAAAGCTGGATATACAAAGAAGCCCAATTTAACAGGGCCACATGAGTTAACGAGAAAAAATCTCATAGACCTGAATTTCCATCTACAAATCACTGCTGAATCGTCACAAAATCGTTCCATTTCTGAAGCATATGGTGACTGGTGCAAAAAGTGGATGACCGTCT